GCTGACGATTTTGCAAATGTGTGTTTGGCATTTCCGCATTCAAGGCGTCGCGCTCGTTAAAACGCATCTAAGTCTCGCATTTTCGTACATGTGCAGAAAACATCCTCATAAACCTTCAGCTTTTTTTTTTTTGTCTAGTTTCCCAAGTTTTTCTCCTCCAAAATATTTTTAATTGTCTGGGCTTGAAAACTAAAAAGACATAAGCACGCACTCCACGTCCAGTGGCTTATCCGTTGCACTGAACTAATTGCCAAAACTTCAGAGTTAAGACTTCTTATTGATCTGGAAATTGGTATATGTGAACAGATATGCAAGTACACATGCATAAATGGCAACCGGTCACCGGAAATTATTCTCTCCCTTCATGCAAGATTTACAGCAATCATACATGCTGGAGATTAAAATTTCACGCAATCCCATGATGTAACACTACCGTCCCACCGCAGACACTTTTCCATTGCAAGCAAGAAAAGATCAAAAAGATAGTCAGCATGAGTACACCTGCTAAAATGTAAAGCAACTACCGTTCATATTGCTAACGATCTGATTGCTTCAAGTTTAGTGCAAAAACGCACGCAAAAATGTGCACCTCTTTTTATATTTAAAGTTTTTCACAACATCTTTCCCAAGTTATCTAGCAGCATGCTGCTCTAATTTTACGTTCTTTCAATTTTCTCTATCGGAAATTTCCAAATTTTCAGGGTGAAAAGTTTTTAAAACCTCGCTCTGGTGTACAGCAAAGAAGAAGTTCATTAGATATGATGGCAACACACCGCAAAACAGCGCAACGGCCGGAGCACCAACGGCGACCAAATGTACCTCGATCAGCGATGCTGTCTGCACTAGCACTCTCCACTGCTGCAATTTTGAAGAAAAATCACACGTCTGCAGCTGCTTCCGAGATTATCTCCAGAGCCAGAAGCGCGCCAGACGTCGAAATCAGTGGGTCCGATGAATGTGGCAGAAGGCTTCATTCGAATCTTAATTCAGGTGGTTCAAATAACTATCAGCAGAATGAACGTAATAAAGAAGGAGAAGTAAATTTTCAGCAAGCGCCCGAGCTGTTTCACATATCTGACCCAGAAAATTCAGTTCGCCAAGATTTAGACCCTCAAATCTCCCACCAATACATAAATTTTTCAGAATTGGACTTTCAAAGTCCAAAATGCCTCAGCCTTGAAACATCTGAGATCAGAAACATTGATCAACAGAAACTGCAGCCTTTTCAGCAGTTTCTCGGTGGCACGCAAACGATAGGAACTTCCAACAATGAGCAGCAGAAAAACCGAAGCACGCAAGAGAAAGGGCTTTCCAGTAACCAGCACTTTGAGCCAAAAAGTTTTTTGCAAGGCTACTCAAATTTTCAGCAACTTGAAAGAGGAAGCGCATTGCAGATGGAAACAAAGAACCTTCAGGATGAGCAACAGCAGTCTAATTTGCCATTACCAGCGTTTCCAGCCCTACCAAGTTTTTTGCATGAACAATGGCAGGAAGATACCTCTGCAGCACAGACTGGGTTTACTCCTATCGAACCGCAACGTGCATCAACAGCTTCTTCGTTCTCAGATCAACAGCAACAAGCCGAAAAGTCGGACTTTTCTTTTTCGGAACCGGTGGTGATATTTCCTTGTCCAGATAGGATATTTCAGCGGAACCCAGAAGAAATAGGACCCGCTGCTCACAGCTCTGGACGGCTGGATCTATTTTTTCATCAAAATCCAGAAAATACTCTAGCTCAGGACCGAAATCCACCGCCCCGTGAGACTTTAAAAGCCTGCATCCACCATCGCATGAAAAAAGTGAGTGGTACAAATCCATCGACAGAGCAGCCCCTGAGTGATATTTCAGAAACATGTCAGTGTCCTCAAATTTTACATCCCGAATTAGAAAAGCAAACAAATTTGTTCGCGATTTTACCAGCTTCAGCCGGTTTCTGCACGGGATGTTCAGCCATACAACCAATAGGTGTTCCTCCTGCAATTTCACGAAATCGGCCTACACT